GTACAAGTTCTCCTATGTCCTGAGTCTTAATTGACCTTGGAAGGCTAGGGCCAAAATGTTGGCTTTCCTTGCGGCCCTCCTTTTTCTCTAATTTTGGTCTGCAAACTTAGGTTGTTAACCATGTGAATGCTTTTCTGAGGTGTGGTTAAAAATGTGGAGGTGTGATGAGAATGCGGTGAATGCTGCTGCCGAATGCCATTGACAGATGGGGTTCCAGGGCCGGCACGGCATGCAGTGCTGGGGATTGAACTCAGGTTCTTACATTTGCCAGGCAGGCTCTTAGACTGCAGAGTTATCTCCCAGTTTTTTGTTTTTTTGTCAGGCAGGCACTTACGCTGCTGAGCTATCTCCCTGGCCCTCGTACAAATATTATGGTGCGTTCCCATCCACCATATTCACTAGATATGATACCGTATGACTTCTGGTTCTACCCTTAAGTCAAAATGACCAAGGGAGGTAAATATTTTGCATCAATTGGGACACTGAAGCAGCGTAACAGAGTAGCTAGAGACTCTCATGAAGGAGGACTTCCAGACCTGCCTCCAAAAGCTGCAAGAATGATGATGGGCTGTGTGTATTCTAAGCAAGAGGGGGTACCTTGAGGGGGATTCATGGCAATGGTCTTTATTGTAATATATTAAAAAATTAGGCATTCCCCATCATTTTGATCCTGCCAGCTATTTGGTTTGCTGCGTTGGCTGTTTTTGTGGAGTGGGTGCATGCTAAGGGTTTGCGGCCATCTCGCTGATGCCCAAGAAATCTGTGTTTTTATTTAGCTTGCTACACTAGCGGCCTCTTGTTCACCTTTTATTCTCACCTAATCAAGAGCTGATGGGCTCAGCTGTATGGCAAGTCTTTGATTTCTTTGTCCTCCCTCCCCCTCTTCTTAGGGTGTCCTCAGCAGGAGAGTGACATTGCCTTCTTGATTGATGGCTCTGGCAGCATCCATGACCTTGACTTTCAGCAGATGAAGGAGTTTGTTTCAACGGTGATGGAACAATTTGCAAAGTCTAAAACCTTGGTAATGGCCAGTGGGGAAGTTAGGGAATGGCCCGCAGGGCTCTATGGTCCCTCCTGCCAGTGTGGACACTGCCGCCTCGACTTGGGCCACTTCACAGTTCTTTGCTGTTGGGGTGCAGGCTCAGACTCCTCTTGGCCCTGGTACAACAGGCAGTGCTGACTGACTGGTGGGGGTTGGCATGGGAGATGTGCCCGTACACCTTCTCTTGCTGAGTTCTGGTACTGAGAAAAGGTGGAAGCAGTAGAGAAGGAATCTGGAAAGTAGTGTGTTTCATGATTTACGGAGGGCTGGCTGGGGGGGAAGGAGCACCTCCCGCAGGGGTAATGCCTGGTGCCTCGTTCCCAGTTCTCTTTGATGCAGTACTCGGATAATTTCAAGACTCATTTCACCTTTGAGGATTTCAAGAGAAACCCTAACCCAAGATCTCTGGTAATCCCAATAAATCAGCTGACTGGGTGGACACACACGGCCACAGGCATCCGCAAAGTGACGTGAGTTCTCTCCTCTTTGTTGAGGGTAGAAAGACGAAGGGATGCTTTAGCAAGGCTTTGAGGGATGAGAGGGGTTCTTCAGCCAGGGCTGGGGTGAAGCCTCCTTCTAGGGGAGGGAGTAGCGTGAGCAAAGGGTTGAAGGAGGAACCGCGTGCCTGGTGCTCAGGAGAAAACCGGCTGGAGAGTAAAAGGGGAAGTAAAGAGGCACCAGGGAAGGGGCTAGGCAAGGGCCCTCGCCATCGAGGCACCCAAGGTGGCTTTGTAGCAGCGTGACTCAATGGACGGAAGGCTCTAAGGGGCGGGAGACACCATATCTTGGAAATTTCACTCAAATCCTTACAAGGTGAGTGCGGGCTGGGCCACAGGGCAGAAGGATGAGCCTGAGAGGAAAGGTGGTGCATTCCAGGGGGGAATCAGTGGAAGCTCAGTTGAGCTATTTCTTGTTTAAATAATTCTAAACTTAAAGGGCATTGCATCCAGTCGAAGATACAAAACTATGCGGAGCACACAAAGCCCACGGAAGCTTTCTTCCCCGCCCTTTTCCTCTGCTGCCTTTCCATTTCTCGGGAGCAGTCATCTCAGAGCACTTAGTTGCAGGGGAGACGGACACGGGGTCTGCCTGTGTCCCTGAGTCGCTGACGTTTCTTCCCGAGCTTTCATGGCATCTCTGTCTCCTTGCATTTGACAGAAGAGAACTGTTTCAGAGTTCCAGCGGAGCCCGGGACAATGCTGTCAAGATCCTAGTTGTCATCACGGACGGACAGAAGTATGGGGATCGTCTGAATTATGAGGATGTCATCCCGGAGGCAAACCAGCGGAACATCATTCGCTATGTCATTGGGGTAGGAAATGTCGGACCTGATGCTTCTGGGGAAGTTTCTACCGGATGTACCCATCCTTAATTTGCAAATAGTGGTAAAATCAAAGTGAGGTCAGGGTCCCTGCTGGCCCCCACCATATTCCTCCGCTGATGTCCCAGTGATGCTATATATTAAATCATTCCAAAGTTCAGTGGCTTGAAATAGTAAAGAAAGCCAGGCCTGGTGGTGCAAGCCTGTTATCTCAGTGCTCTGGGCAGTCGAGGCAGGAGGAACATGAGTTTGAACTCAGCCTGAGAAACTTACTTCTTAGTGAGATCCTGTTTCAAAAATATAAGAGATAAAGCAGGCTGGGAAGGGGGCTCAGGATGGAGGCCCCTGGTTCAAGTCCCAGTACCACAGGAAAAAGTAAGCCTCTAGGTGCCCTGGGCAGCTTTCCTGCCTCAGCTGGGGTCACATTTGTAATCAGCAGCAGACTCGGGGGGTGGGGGGATCTGCTCATCTCCCCCAGGATCCCACTACTTTTGAGGGTTGCCATGCGTGTTCATCTACAGGGCAGATGGCATTGGCTGAAAGAATGGGGGTGATCTGGCTCTTCTTGTCCTGGCCCCATGCACTAGGCTGGCCTTGGTGCACTCTAATGATGCGGGCTGAGGAGGAAGAGTGAGTGCAGGGCTGGGAGATACATAGCTTGGCGGTCTACGCTCCTGCCTGGCAAGCGCAAGGACCTGGGTTCGATCCCTGGTACTGCATGCTGTGCCGGCCCTGGAACACTGGGCATACCATGCCAGCATGGCGGCACATGCCTGTAATCCCAGCACTAGGAAGGCTGAGACAAGAGGATCACTATGAGGCCGAGCTGTGTAGCGAGACACTGTACCAGATAAATAAATAAGTGATTTTTAAAAATTTAAAAAAAAGAGCGAGTGCAAATCTTGCAGGTACCTTTCAAGTCTCTGTGTTACGTTTGATGACATTCATGGACTAACTCAAGATCCACAGCTGTGGCTGGTGAGACAGCTCAGTGGTCTCAGATGCTTGCTTAGGCAAGCTTAGGCAAGCGCAGGGACCACGATTTGATCCCCAGCACCACATGCCACGCTAGACCCATCCTCAGGGTGGGCTGAGCTGGCTGAAAAAAAAAAAAAAAAAAAGGAAAAAGAAGAAAGATCTACAGCTGGGCAGGTAGTATCATCTTGCGTAGGAGAGTACAGTGAAGTTCTGGGGACAGGGCTCGGGTACAGAAGAGGTGGCGGAGAGGGTCATCAGTGTAAGCAAACTTGCACAGCATCCTGTGTGCCCAGAGAATAGCCTCATGACTCATAGCTTGGCAAGTAAGAAACACCTTCATATGCAGAGAAAAGGGCTCCCTTTCCTCTGGGGGGAGCTCAGCCCCTGCCAAGGAGCATGGCAGAGTAGACTGAAAGCCAGCTGTAAGTCCCCAGTGCTCCCTGCTCAGTGTACAACCTGCCCAACCATGCAGTACTTGTCAGCTTTGTGTCAGGGGTTGTCTGGTATCTTCTCTCATTGGCCAAATAACATTTCAGAGTATTTTCCTGTTTTTTGGTTTTTTTTTTTTTTTTGCTGAAGGCTACTGTTACTACTAGGTAGTACCTGATTTGTCCTTTATTCTTCGGTATCAGGTGGGAGATGCCTTCAGAAATGCCAGAAGCCGCCGGGAACTGGATACCATTGCGTCGGCACCGCCTCACGACCATGTGTTCCAGGTGAATAACTTTGAAGCTCTGAAGACCATTCAGAATCAGCTTCAGGAGAAGATCTTTGCCATCGAGGGTAAGTGAGGGCCTCGGGGTTTCCCGAGAGCTCCAGAAGCTGACCAGGCCCCGGAAGGCTTGGTATTTTGAACATCAACATCGGCTCTTTCCTAGTCTCCTGAGCTTCCCTCAGCCAATTCCTCTGAAGTTAGAGAATCTAGGCTCGTGCATTGAAGTGTGGGAAGTCAAGTCTCACTAGTGTTTTCCCAAAATGTGGATGTGTGGCCAGCAATTGTTCAGAATAGTGCCTGGTATACGGAAGGTGCTCAATAAAGATCAAAAAAAAATTCTACCAAAAAAATGTACACAGCCAGCTGTGGTAGAGCAGGCCTACAATCCCAGCACTTGGAAGGCTGAGGCAGGAGGATCGTCACAAATATGAGGCCAGCCTGTGCTATAAAGTGAGTTCAAGGCCAGCCTGGACTACAGAACAAGACTGTCTAAAATTTTTTTAAAAATGTATACACACTTCAGGAAAAAAAAAAAACTTGGATGAATATTTTAATACTGAATTTATCAAGACCTCATGAGATCCATGCAAGTCACTTTTGACCTCTGCAAAGACAAGAGATGCTCAGGGTGTGGCTCTGAGCTCCCAGGCGTTTATTAGTGTGGTGAACAGCTGCCTGGGTGACTGTGGTCACTGAGACTGCTGCCTTTGCACTTTCAATTCCTTCTCTAAGGGCTGGCAATGAAATAATGGGTTTTCTGTGACGTATGATATCCCCTAGGGTCCCCCTTAGGTGAAAGTATTAAAATATTTATGCAAGCTATTTTTTTCCCCTGAAATGTGTATACATTTTTTTGGGCAGACTGTCTATCCATAATCCTGGAGACCTGGGGGTTGAACCCAGGGCTTTAGCACTGAACAATAGCCTCACCCCTTTTTAGTCTTTTAACAAGGGTTCTTATTTTATTTATTTTTTGTATTTTAGGACAGAGTGTACAGGGTCTCACTGCGTAGATTGGACTCGTAGTGATCCTCCTGTTTATAGCCTCCCAAGTGCTGGGATTACAGGCGCCAGCAAACCACACCCAGTCTCAATCTGGCACGGCAGGCCTGGGGATCAAACTCCCAGCCGCTGTGTCTGCCTAAGCAGGTGCTTTAATCCATTGAGCTATTTGGCTGACCCTTACAAGGGGGTCTTCTTGAGTCTCCAAATTGTCCAGGTTGAACTCAAATTTCAGTCCTCCCCTGCTGCAGCTTCCCAAGTAGTTGGGATTACAGGTGTCTACCACCAGGCCTGGCTTCGGTAAAAGTTTCCTGAATGAAAGAATTTAGAAATCAGGGAATTTAATATACAATCTGTGTTGATGTCTTTTCTCAGAAAGGTGGAAGATCTGGACATCTTGAGGTCCACATTCTCACTTGCCAGAAGGAAGCTACAGGGCTTGGCTGCGGTCCCTTGAAGAGGGGCACACGCTTTCTGGTTCACCACAGAGCCCACCCGAGCCTCCCTTTCTGAGCTCCTCTGGTTTCTGTAATGTCAGCAATTTCCCCTCTTCCCAGGTACGCAGGGCGGAAGTACCAGCTCCTTTGAGCACGAAATGTCTCAGGAAGGTTTCAGCGCGGCTATTACTGCTGTAAGTGGCCCTTCATTGACTTGGGGTGGGCACGGCACAAGAAGGAGCCAAAGAAGAGATGTAGGGGTTGGGGGAGCAGCTCTGGGGATGGCTTCTGGGGCTAGGGAGCTGGGACCTCTTTGATGGGCAGCTATGGTCTCTTTCTCATCATGATTCCGTGGAACTCTGTTTCCCAGGACGGCCCCTTGCTGGGCTCTGTGGGCAGCTTTGACTGGGCTGGGGGAGCCTTTCTGTATATGTCAAATGGAAAAGTCCCTTTCATCAACAAAACCAGAGTGAATTCAGACATGAATGATGCTTACTTGGGTAAGTGGGGAAAGGCTTGTTCTCCCTTAAGCAGGGGCGACGATGTAGTGTACTCCGCTAGTACAGTTCCTGCTGGATCTTTCTGCGGGACAGCAGTACAGACAGAAATTTCAAAACTGAATTTTAATTAGTTGGGCATGGTACAGATGCCTGTAATCCCAGCATTTTGGGAGCCTGAGACAGGGAGATCACAAATTTAAACCCAGATGGGGCTGCTTAGTGACTTAGAAAAACCTTGCCTCAAAGTGAAAAATCAAAAAGGACTTGGGATGTAGCTCAGTGGAAAGGCCTGGGTTTAATCTCTACAGTTGTGGGAGGATAGGTTCACACAGGGTAATATAGCCCAGGGCTCAGTCATTATGGCTTGCTAAGCGAGGGGATGCCCCGTTGCCCCTCTTCAAGGCTGGGTGGCAGAAAGGGAGGAGGGATCGGTGAAGGAAGTGCTTGACTCCTAGATCACCATCTCTAGGTTACGCTTCTGCAGTCATTACACGGAACCGGGGGCAGAACCTGGTCTTGGGGGCTCCTCGGTATCAGCACACCGGCCTGGTGGTGATGTTCAGACAGAACGCTGGTGCCTGGGAGGCCTCTGCTGATATCCAAGGCAGCCAGGTGAGTGCAGGGCATGGAAAGCAGGGTGCGGAGGGTGCTGGGGGCCAAGAGGTGGGCTTCCTGCTGCCCTGCCTGGCAGAGACCCTTGGGAAGAACCATGCGATCAGCATTGGGTTTGAGGATGCTGCGTCCTCAAGCTTTTCAACAGTAAATATGTCTGATCTGTACCAAGCTCTCAGTGATTCTACCTGCATCCAGAACTAGTATTCAACCAGCCCATAATCAATATAAAATCTTTATTTTATTTGGTACATGGTCTTGCTACACAGTACCAGGGGTTGAAATCTGGTCCTTGTGCTTGCCAGGCAGGCACTTAGACTGTTGAGCTATCTCCCCAGCCCCCTAACCAAGATAGCCACATTCACTTTTTAAATATTGGAAGGATTCCGTGTCTGTCTGTGATGGCTCTGTTCCTCATCGGCCCCCATGTCCCCCACCTAGGAAGTGCACAAGCAGACTACGGTCTGCTCCTATTGGATGTCAATACACGCAACAGCGTAGATAAAGATTGAATGTGTTAAGCTAAGTGGAAGATGCCAGTTTCAAATGGCTATGTATGATCAAATTCCATTTATATAACATTCTGGAATAGGTAGAGTTATTGAGACAGAAGACAGAGTAGCGGTCACCAGAGATGGATGATTTGAGGAAAGGCCAGGTGTGATGAGTGTGTGGGAATATTTTGAGGATGAAGGAAACCATTCTATAACGTGACTGGGGTGATGGTCAGATAACTTTATATGTCCTGACAACTCGAAAGCTGTGTACTAAAAAGGCTGAATTTATATGTAAAAATTCAACCCAATAAACACGACCTAAGGGCCAGGGATATAGCTCAGTGGCACAAGAGCTTGCCTGGGAAGCACAAGGTCCTGAGTTCAATTCCCTGTACCACCCCCCAAAAAACAAAACAAAAAACCAAATTAAAAACCGAAACCAAACATTGATCTAAGAACAACAGAAATCCTGTTGACTTTAGCATGAACCCCAAAAGCCTCCTCTCAGTGGCTCATGGGGCAGAGATCATGTTTCTATGAGCTGTGGCACGATGTCCTCTCTGCCTGTCTCAGTTACTCTTCTCTCATTTGCAGAGACAAAGTACTCAGAAGGAAATGTTTATTTAGCTCACAGTTTGTGGAGGTTTCAGTCAGTCCATATTTGGCTGGCTCCAAGGCAGAGCGGCACATGGCAGAGGGTGGCTGTTCATGGTGGCAGAAAACAGCAAAACAGCAAGAGCCAAAAGGGAGAAGCATCAGCAGCAGCAGAGAGAAAGCCTCTCTCCCTTCTTTACATTGCATTCAGGCTACCCATGGGTGTAGCACTCACACCCATAATCCCAGCATTGGATTATGAACTAATCACCAAATCTAGTGGCCCACCTCAATGACTGCATGAGGCTTTGAGGGAACAACTAGGCATAAACCATAACACTACTGTTCCTCCTTAGAACTTCCCCAGGTTGAAAACTACCATATATATCTCGATCTTGATCTCGATCTCTCTATCTCTCTATCTCTCTATCTCTCTATCTCTCTATCTCTCTATCTATCTATCTATCTATCTATCTATCTATCTATCTATCATCTATCTATCTATCACCCATCCTTGTGCTTGGCAAATAACAAACCCTTCTTTATTGATGAATTAAGAGATAATTAAATGGAAGAACCCTAGGGATGAATTCTACATATTGACATTGGCCATATTTTAAAAAAAAATTATACTGATAGGCAGACATTTTCTCTCAATATCACACAAAAAATTTTGGACTGGCAGTTGTTAGTTTTAATCCAACTAGTTGATGCTTTGTTAGTCAGAACTGCCAGCTTTGACCACCCTCCCCTCAGGATTCCCATTATTTTGAGTGTCTGTCTGCCCTTGTAGGTTTTTCTGTTGAGGCAAGTCCCAGCCCACTGCCACCTGATTCTGCAGAGTACACCTCAGCTCACATTCAGAGAAAGCTTTCATCGTCTCCAAAAGGTTTTCCTCAGCAGGCATGAGTTTTTTTCTTCACAGAAAGAAAACTCCTATATCCCGCTTTGGGTGGGTGGGCCTATGAGATCCTGGCTCATCTCTTTCAGATTGGCTCCTACTTTGGGGCCTCCCTCTGCTCTGTGGATGTGGACAGAGACAAGAGCACTGACCTGGTCCTCATTGGAGCCCCCCATTACTACGAGCCGACCCGAGGGGGCCGGGTGTCCGTGTGTCCGCTGCCTAAGGGGGTGAGTGGCTGCTGGGACCTGGCTCATAGGCTCTGGGTGTGGGTGGAAGGTGTCCCTGTCTTGGGGCCTGACACTGTTTTTGTTTAACAGAGGGCTCGGTGGCGGTGTGAGGCTGTTCTCCAGGGTGAGCAGGGCCACCCCTGGGGCCGCTTTGGGGCAGCCATGACGGTGCTGGGGGACGTGAATGGGGACCAGCTGACAGACGTGGCCATCGGGGCCCCCGGAGAGCAGGAGAACCAGGGCGCGGTCTATCTTTTTCACGGAAAGTCTGTTGTCAGCATCAGTTCCTCACACAGCCAGGTAAGGTCACGGTCCTTGTCACAGCTGTCCTTGTCACCTGTCCTCTCCAAACTCAACATTCCTACAGCCACCACACTCATTCTCCCAGGATTCCTGTCAGAACCTTCAGAAATAATACACTCTTCACTGAAACCTCAGGAATCTCAGTTAACCTTCTAGATGGATTGCTTCTGTAATGATGGAAGGCGGTTGGCTTTGCCCTCTCACCACCTGCCATGTTCTCTGCCATCACATCCTGCTAAGGCAAGCCAGGCCTCTTGCCTCTGGCCTCCAGATTTTTTTTAGCTAGCTAGCTAGCTTGCTTCCTTCCTTTCCTTCCTTCTTTCCTCCCTTCCTTCCTTCCTTCCTTCCTTCCTTCCTTCCTTCCTTCCTTCCTTCCTTCCTCCTTCCTTCCTTCCTTTCTTCCTTCCTCCCTTCCTTCTCTCTCTCTCCTTCTTTCTTTCTGTCTGTCTTTCTTTCTAAAAACTGCATTGTGCTAAGAACACAACATGAGATCTTTCCTCTCGATAGCTTTTAAATGTGTAACATAGCATTGTTGTCTGTTGGTGTGTTGGTGTCGTGTTGTACAGCACATCTCTAAGAGATTGTTCTTCTGGAGTAACTGGAATTTTATACCAATTGGTTAGAAATTTCACTTCCCGCACCCTCTGTCACCTGATGCCCACCATTCCAGTTTTTGCTCCTGTGATTTTGACTACTTTAGATGATTCTCGTAAATAGAACTATTTATCCTTCTGTGTTTAGCTCATTTCACCAAGAATAATTTCATTCCTGTTTTCACAAATGACAGAATATCCTTTAATTTCCTTCTCTTTAAAGGCTGAATTATTGATTGTTTTGAAAACTTTTTAGCAATATTTTCTAATTTTTAGTGTATAGGTCCTTTAATTCCTTAAATTTGTTTTATTCTAAGTATTTTATCCTTTTCTATGCTATTACTAAAGGGATTGCTTTTCAAATTTCACTCTCAGATATCACATTATTAGTGTATAGAGACAACAGACTTTTTAAAATTTTAACTGTGACAAAATAACTACATTTATAGGGTACAGTGTGGTTTTTATTAGTCGATGTTTATGGTACATAATGAATACTTTCACTGTGGATAGTTGTTACATGTATAGGATATATCTGAATTCTTTTTACCTCCCCCTCTACCTCCCAACATCTCTTGGTCTTCTTTGTTTTACAAAAGATCAGTCTCCCTGTTTGCTTCTGAATATCTTTTATTTTGCTCTTTAATTTCCTTATTCTTTGGGTTTCTAATTTCCTTATTCGTTGGGTTTCTAGTATATGTGAAGCCACAGAATATTTAAACTTGTGTGCCTGATTTATTACACTTACCATTATAGATTCAAGGTGAATCCACTTTCCTATGCCTCAAATTTATCCTTTCTAGCACAGTAGTTCTCTATTGTGTATAAATACCATGTTTTCTTTATACATTTGTATGTTGTTAGACATACAGGATGCTTCCTGGATTTAGCTATTATGAATTGTGCTGCTATAAATATAAGTCCCATGTATCACTACAATATGATGTCTTTAACTCTTTCAGGAAGAAGTTTGGTCAAATAGAATTTCTAGTTTTAGGTTTTTTGTGGAATCTCCCTGTGGATTTCCATTGTGCTGTAGTACTTTACATTCCTACCAACAACGTAGAAAGAAACGGTTCTTTTCACCGCAGTTGTATCAGCATTTGTTATTATTTCATTTCTTGGTGACTGGCCTTTCTGGAGTAAGAGAGAATCTCAGGGTTGTTTAATATGCATTTTAATGGCCAATGACATTGACAATATTTTCATGCATTTATGGGATGGGCCATTTGTATTTCTTCTTCTGAGAAGTAACTATTCCTTTCAGCTGGCCATTGTTTGATTGCATTTTTCATTTTGGGGAGGCTTAAGTTTTTTGCAGTTCTTTATATTTTTAAATCTTCTTCTTCTTCTTCTTCTTCTTCTTCTTCTTCTTCTTCTTCTTCTTCTTCTTCTTCTTCTTCTTCTTCTTCTTCTTCTTCCTCC